TAGTTATAGACAAGGATAATGAGATATCATGGGGATATTTCATTAGGCTCTTTGGCCCTTTCATTATCATTTCTGAGACTTTTCATTAGGATATTTCATTAGGCTCCTGCGCTTTTTCATTACCATTTCTGAGACTTTTCATTAGGATATTTCATTAGGCTCCTGCGCTTTTTCATTACCATTTCAAAGGAATTTTCATTAGGATATTTCATTAGGCTCCTGCGCTTTTTCATTATCATTTCTTAGAATTCTCATTAGGATATTTCATTAGGCTCCTGCGCTTTTTCATTATCATTTCTTAGAATTTTCATTAGGATATTTCATTAGGCTCCTGCGCTTTTTCATTACCATTTCATAGAATTTTCATTAGGATATTTCATTAGGCTCCTTGGCACTTTCATTACCATTTCATAGAATTTTCATTAGGATATTTCATTAGGCTCCTTGGCACTTTCATTACCATTTCTTAGAATTTTCATTAGGATATTTCATTAGGCTCCTGCGCTTTTTCATTATCATTTCTTAGAATTTTCATTAGGATATTTCATTAGGCTCCTGCGCTTTTTCATTACCATTTCTTAGAATTCTCATTAGGATATTTCATTAGGCTCCTGCGCTAAGTTTGTAGTGTCCGCTTTTCAGACTACAAAAATTTGTAGTGTCCGCTTTTTCATTAGAAAAGTTTGTAGTGTCTGCTTTTTGAGGCTACAAAAGTTTGTAGTTGACATATAGTTTATAGTGTCCTTGACTCTGTATAGGTTATGGGGATGAGGTTAAAGGATTGACATGATTTTACATATTGCCATTGCTGCAGCATTTACTTTTGACATCATGTACAAATTGTCCTTCACATCAAGAAAGGCTATTCTATGCCTTCATATTGATAGCTACTGTCCTATCTCAAATCATGGTTCTAGGTCCATGTGGATATGGTTTGAAGGATTAAATTGCTTTACATATTACTACTGCCAAATGATTAGTTTTTGACATCATACCCAAGTTGCCTTTCACATCAGGACAGGCTATTCTCTGATTTCACATTGATAGTTGCTGGTCTGTCTGCTTTCACATTGATAGCTACTTGCCTGTCCCAAACCTAGTCAATTGTGATATCAGCTCTTTCAGGGCAATAGGATGAGCTGATTAGTCCCTGGAAGTATCCTTAATTCAGGTCATGATGTAAGTTAACAATGTATTGAGACAGAACAGTAGATATTACTATGAATGGCTTTTTCTGGCTTGAAAGCCAACTTGGGCATGATGTGAAAAGCTGATGATGTGGCAATAGCAATCAATATGTAAAGTCATGTGAATCCTTTAGCCAGTTCCCCATAAACCTACAAGTATGGTTTGAGATAGGACAGTAGCTATCAATATGAAGGCATAGAATAG